ACAGGTTGAAATTAAGCAGGGAAGGGCTAAGAACTCAAACAATACCAAGCAGGGAAAATTTGGAAAACATATTTATAGTTTAGACTTTATTGGCAAAATGACTGGTGATTATCCTCTGTGAAACAATAGCAATAGGTATTGATTTATAGCTGCTGGGGCTTTTTTTTTTTCTTGCCTTAGTTCTAAATTATCCTAATAATATTTCTAGAAAAGTAATTTAATCACCAGATGCCTCTTATTATTCTCCTCCATGAAGCCCATATATCTAAAGATATGGTCTACCAGTTAAACTGTACTTATGAAGCAACAACCGCAGCATCAGAAGACAAGCATTGACTGAATATTTTCACATGCCAGGGACTGTGTGTATTATATTTATTAACCTTTAAATCTTTACAACAGACCTATGATGCGGGTACAAATACTCCTCCCATTTTATGGTTGTGCAAACGGAGGCACTGAGTTTAAGCATCTTGTACAAGATGATATAACTAGTAAGTGATATACTCAATTTGTTTTCGCACTACTATAACTATGCAACTTCTGATTAGAAGGAGAAAACGAAGGTTCCCAAAGAGTTGATAATAATTTTGCCCATAACAAAGAACCTTCCTGTCTATCAGCTTGTCTTTCAGCTTGTCTATGCAGCCTGATCTGGGTAAATGTTTTTTTTTTATTAGACTTTCCATGGTGTTGAAACAGTCAAAAGTTTCCTATTATTGTTTTTGTTTAATTTTTAATTTTAAGATGTGAGGTACAATTTAGGGTTAAGTATACAAATGTTCATTACAGGTAACCTTGTTGATGAGGCGTCTCCCCCCACTTCCCTGGCAGTTTCCCACTACTGCCAATCCTGCTCCCGCCCTCACTTGGTAGTTTCTCACTACTGCCAATCCCTTTCTTATAGTATTATGATAATTGTTCAAGCTCTGCTTATGAGTGAGAACATGTGGTACTCAGTTCTTTGTTTCTGTGAAAGATCACTCAGTATTATAGACTCTAAGACTCTAAGACTCTAAGTTGCTGTGAAGTTCATAATTTTGTCCTTTTTATGGCTGTGTAATATTCCATCATGTACATATATCACATTTTTTCTTATCCAGTCCTCTTTTGATGGGCAGCACGGTCGGTTTCATGTTCTTGCTATTGTGAACAATGCTGCGATAAATATATGTGTGTAAGTATCTTTTTTATAGAGTGATTTGAGTTCTTCTGGGTAGATTCCCAGTAGGGGGATTGCGAGGTCATATGGAAGGACAATTTTTTGATTTTTCAGGACTCGCCACACTGTTTTCCACAGAGGCTGTACTAGTTTACACTCCCACCAACAGTGTAGAAGTGCTCCCTTTTCCCTGCATCCTTTCTGACATCTGTTGTTTTTTGAGTTATTGATGATGGCCATCCTGACTGGAGTTAAGTGGTATCTCAGTATAGTTTTAATTTGCATTTCTTTGATGACTAGTGAGGCTGAGCATTTTTTCATGTACCTGTTGGCTGCTCATATGTCTTCTTTTGAGAAATGTCTATTTATATCTTTTGCCCACTTTGTAATGGGGCTGTTTTTTTTTTCTTTTCGGCACGTTTGAGATTCTTGTAGATCCTAGATGTTAGGCCTTTGTCAGTTATACAGTTGGTAAATATTTTTTCCCAGTCTGTGGACTTTCTTCCTGCTCTCTCAATGGTTTCTTTGGCTTTGCAAAAGCTTGTCAGTTTGATGAAGTCCCACTTGTCAATCTTATCTCTTATGGTATGGGCACTTGGGGTTTTGTGCAAGTTGCTGGTTCCAATTTCCATAAGGGTGTCTCCTGAATTTTCTAAGGTTCTTATAGTTCGAGGTTTTACGTTTAGGTCTTTGATCCATTTAGAGTTGATTTTTGTGTATAGTGATAGGTAGGGGTCTTGTTTTAATCTTCTGCATGTGGTCAGCCAGTTTTCCCAGCACCGTTTACTGAATGGGTTCTCCTCTCCCCAGTGGTTAGTGGTGGTGGCTTTGTCGAAGATGAGTTGGTTGAGAAATTGAGGTTTCGATTCTGGAATCTCTATCGTGTTCCATTGGTCTATATGCCTGTTCTTGTACCAACAGTACAAGGTGGTTTTGATTATTGTAGCTTTAAAAGTCTAGGAGTGCGATACCTCCTACTTTTTTTTTTTTTTTAACTGAGGATCGTTTTGGCTATTAGAGGTCGTTTATTTTCCATACGAATTCCTGATTGTTGTTTCCAGGTCTGCTGCTGGTAATTTAATGGGTATTGCTTTTGGTAGGATGGACATCTTAACAATGTTGATTCTTCCAATCCATGCGCACGGAGTATTCTTCCATTTGTTTGTGTCATCTTTGATTTCTTTGAGCAATGTTTTGTAGTTTTTGTTGTAAAGGTCTTTCACTTCTCTGGTGAGGAGGGGACTGAGATACTTCCCTTTTTTGTGGCTCTATTGTGAATGGGATTGTGCTTTTTATTTGAGTTTCTGTTTGTTTTTATTGTTGGTATATAGGAATGCGACTGTCTTTTGCATATTTATTTCATACCCTGAGACTTTGCCAAAGTCCTTTCTCAGTGCAAGGAGATTTTTGACAGATTCTCTTGGGTTTTCGAGGTATAGAATCATGTTGTCTGCAAAGAGGGGTAACTTGACTTCCTTTTTTCCTATTTGGATACCCCTGAATTCCTGCTCGTGTCTGATTGCTCTAGCTAGGACTTCCAATACTATGTTGAAAAGGAGGGGTGACAGTGGGCATCCTTGTCTTTTTCTGATTTTCATGGGAAATGGTTCCAATTTCTGTTTGCTTAGCAGTGTGTTGGCTGCGAGTTTCTCATGGATGGCTCTTACTATTTTGAGGTATATTACATCTATGCCTGGATGTTCAAGGGTTTTTTTTTTCAAGAAGAGGTGCTAAATTGTATTGAAAGCTTTTTCTGTGTCTAATAAAATAATCATGTGATTTTTGTCTTTACATCTGTGATGTGTTTAATTACATTCATGATCTTGCAGATGTTGAACCAGTCCTGCATCCCAGGGATGAAGCCTGCCTGGTCATGGTGGATGATTTTTGAGATGTGTTGTTGGATCCAGTTTGCTGGAATCTTGTTGAGAATGTTAGCATCTATATTCATCAAGGATATTGGCCTGTAGTTCTCTTTTTTTGTTGGGTCTTTACCTGGTTTGGGTATCCATGTGATGCTAGCTTCATAAAATGATTTGGGAAGAGTTCCATCTTTCTCGCTTGCCTGAAATACTTTCAATAGGATCGGTATCAGCTCCTCCTTTTATGTTTTGTAGAATTCTGCTGGAAAGCCATCTAATCTAGGACTTTCTTTTGTGGGTAATTTTCTTACCTATTATTGTTTTTAAAGACTACAAAGATCTGACATTCTAGATTGGAAACTACTGATTTGATCACTCAATCGTTCAGTTCCTGAGAAAATAAGGAATGTTAATTTTGAAGAATGTGCAGTTTGGAGCAAAGTGGTCAGCCAGGAGGCCATATACCTGAGAGACTAAGAGTCCACACACTGGAATCTCACTGCATGGCTCGCTTCACCGTTTAGCAGCTGAATGATCTCAGGCAAGTTGTTTAACATCCTGAGTTCCAGATTTTTCTTTTTTTTTTTTTGAGTTGGAGTCTCACTCTGTCGCCCAGACTGGAGTGCAGTGGCCGCTCATGGCCACCGCAGCCTCGACCTGCTGGGCTCCGGCGATCCTTCCGCCTCAGCCTTCTGAGTAGCCGGAATTACAGGCATGCCCTACCACGCCCGGCTCATTTTTGATTTATCGTAGAGATGAGGTCTCGCTGCCCAGGCAGGTCTCGAACCCGCGGGCTCAGGCAATCCACTCACCTCAGCCTCCCAAAGCGTGGGATTACAGGCTGAGCCACCGAGCCCGGCGTAGATTTTTCATGAATGGAATGGTAGTAAGGACTACAAAAGATAGGACATAGATGTCCTTGAATGGCACTTGGCACTTAGTAAGCACTCGACGAATGCTAGCTCTTAGTTACTTTATGGGTATATACTTACATGAAAGAATTGGGGTAATAGTGAACCTGAGACTCGCTGGATGACACAAAGGAGAGAGTGAGGTGTGAGAGCTCAACAGTTGGTAAGTTTGCTCTTCTTCTTTCCTCTCCAGCATGAAACACGTGGGGTTCCCCAGGAGGAAGGGCTCCCTGACCTCATGATGGATACCCGATGGCATTCCCTCTCACCATCTTTATAAACTGCAGGTGTAGAAAGTGACTCTTTCCTGATGTTCCCAGAGCAGCTTCAGGGACTACGCTTTTAGTGATCTCAAAATCTCTCAGCATGTTGAAGTGACCTTTGACTGTGCTGTGAAGAGAGCCAGCCACCAGAACCTGCATGGTGTCTGCTTCAAATGCCTGTCAGTAACATGGTTCTGAGCTCCCTAGGTCTTTTGGCTTCTTTGCTTTGTGATGAAGCTGATATTTCTTCTTGATGCCCTCAGGCCTCTGACAATAAGATACTTCAAATCTTGTGTTTCTCCCTACTGTAAAAGAAGAATTGCCTTTGTGTGAGGGGGCTAATGCTGCCTTGGTCCAAGATTCATCTAAAAGGAGTCTGGCCTGAAAGGAGAACTGGGTGCTGATACTCTCTTGGACTGGGCTTCTTTTGGGTCATGGATGTCAGGTGCTCAATGTCTTTAGCCATCTGTGTCTTCCCCAGAGCGATGGAACTCAAAGAGTCACCTAGGAGTCAACTGGAGCTACTAGAATATCCTATTTAAGTGCATATTCTCTCCCTTGTCCTTCTCGCCTAGCAACTGTATGACTCAAATATTACTCAGAAATGTTAACTCTCTGTAATTTATACCCTCTTCTGTGTTATGGTTATTGCTGAGGTGTTTGTGTTGGTTTTCAGAGGGTAGAACACTGAAGAATAACTATGGAAACTGAGGCTGGACTTTGGAATTCCTTTCAGTTATTAAGTGTGGATTGTATGATCTAGCAATTTGATCCCTGATCTTTGCTTTTTTTCTCTCTCCAGCACTGGCTCGAACCTAGCAAGTCCATCTCCAAGCAAATGAAATGTAAGTGTTAAAAGGCTTTACTTTTGCTAAAAAATGTCCAAAGATAGATTTTGTTTCCTGGCAGTTTCTCCTACCTGGGGGGGAAAAATGGATAGAGTTGAACATAGATGGGGAAATGGGGGCTTCTGACTCCTCAGTGGGGTTTTGTATCTTTTCCCCTCTTTTTCTCTGACTCTAGTCCCCCCGGCAGTCACTATTTTTCTCTTCTCCTGGTCCTCTCCCCATCCCTACCATTTTGTCTTCATATTTCATATTTGAACAGGGGCTTTGGTATTGAATAATTAAATATCCCTTAAATATGCTCACCAGATACCTGGTTCCTTTGGACTGTGGGTTGCTGGTCAGTGATTCAGGGTGAGAGGGGTACAGTCTTGAGAGAATAGGAGAGGCAAGTGTGTTTGGAAACTATAATCTTACCAATAACTTTACTGAAGATTGTATTATCCTTTCCTACCTTTCAAACTCCCGAAAATAAAGCCAAAAAATTTTTTTCCTAGTAATTGTTTTAAAGCTCTGGTGAACTTAACAAAGCAAAGCAAAACAAAACAAAACAAAATGAATGAGTGCTTGGAGAAGTCAGCTTAGGTGACAACATCTCTCTAGAACTCATGGTCACCTACCTGGGGTTCTGTGAGGAGGATATTGACTGGTAGTGCTGGGTGACATGATGTTTTGTTCTGGTCACCCATGCTAGGCTGTAGCCCATCTGTTTTTCTTTATTGTTTGGAGTTGAACTTCTGAAATACACCTCAGAAATTCACTGCCTGCCCCCAATCCATTTATCCCATCATGTCCACTTTCCCAGGACTCTGAGATGTAGGCGATAAATCAGATTCTCATCAGAGATCAGGTTAGTGCATATTATGTCATTTGTCATCATTCAAGGGATTCTTTTCTTTCTCAAATATGAAGAAATTATTCTGGGCCGGGTTTCAGGTGGGAGAAGGAAGAAACTAAATATGTTCTACAAACTAGCAATCAACCTATCTATTCTTCAGTTTTCTTCTTTTTCGTTCTTTCCCCCCTTTTTCTTCTCTTTTCTTCCCTTCCTGTTCCTCTTTCCTTCTATCTTTCTTTTGTTTCTCCCTCTCTCTCCCATCCTTCAAGGGCAAACTCTGGCCAGTGCAGGAAAGGTGTGTTAAGATGAACATAGGTGCAGCAGTGGATGTCTGAGAGGCCAGGCTTTTGGGGTGAGGCTGGAACAGAGTTGGGCATATATCCAAGTAGAAGCAGTGTGACTGAGGTCCCAGGAGCCTCCATATAGTATAATATGCTAGGAAATGGGAATGAACTAATGTGTCTGAGAAACAATCACCAATGCGTAGCTTTTGTCTCTTAACTGCCAAATGTTGTTATTTTTGTCTATGTACTTAAAAGTATTTAGACCGTTTTCTAGTACATTAAATGGTTCTTTGACTTTGGTTGTTAAAGATCATATAATCTTTTCCTTTTCTTTTTTTTTTTAGTTGGAGTCTCACTCATCGTCCAGGCTGGAGTGCAGTGGCACGCTCACGGCCACCTGAGCATCGACCTGTTGTGCTCTGGTGATTCGTCTACCTTAGCCTTCCAAATAACTGGAACTATAGGAGCACACTACCACATCTGGCTAATTTTTTATTTATTGTAGAGACGAGGTCTTGCCAAGTTGCCCGGGCTGGTCTTGAGCCCGCAAGCTCAGGCAATCCACTTGCCTCGGCCGCCCAAAGTGCTGGGGTTACAGGTTGAGCCCCTGAGACCAGCCCTACAATCTTTTTCTTAGCCTGTGCACATTTTTAGAAATATAAATTTATCTTTAAAAGTATTTAAACACTTAACAGAGGAAAATATTTAAACTTTGGGAGAGATTTCAAACTTGTGAGGAATTTGCTGTTTAAGAATGTTGTCTCGGCTGGGCGTGGTGGCTCACACCTGTAATCCCAGGTGGCTCACACTTGTAATCCCAGCACTTTGTGCGGCTGAGGTGGAAGCATTGCTTGAGCCCAGGAGTTCTGACACCAGCCTGGGCAACAAAGCAAGACTTTGTCTCTACAAAAAATAAAAATTAGCTGGATGTAGTGGTGCATGCCTGTAGTCCTAGCTACTCAGGAGGCTGAGACAGAAGGGTTACCTGAGCCCAGGAGGTTGAGGCTGTGGTGAGCCATGACCTTGCTGCTGCACTCCAACCTGGGTGACAGGGTAAGATTCTGACACACACACACACACACACACACACACACACACGTGCACACACAGAATATTGTCTCTATAATACAGCAAATCTAAACAACTAAAAATGTATAATGTTTTATAAAAATGGTTTGCAGTTTAACATTTGACTACTAGCCAATTTTAATTTAATGACAAATGGAATCTGAATCTAGAAAAAAGAATCGTGTAAAATTCAATTTCTAAACCAAACAGGTTGACTTACTGATTCTAGGAGCTGGCATGTGTCTTCCCCACCACCTAGACCCCTGCTACATTGTTGCAGACAATAGTGAGAAAAAATTTCCGTAATTTTCTTAAGATCACAAAGCTGGTTTTGTTGTTTTTGAGGATGATGTCTTTCAGTATTAAGAATTTCTGAGTTCTTGAAGATATATCCTAGAAATATAAATGCTACTGTACATTAGAAAATAACTAAAAGCAGGACTTTATATTATTAATCCAGAGGAACTGAGTCTAACTTCTGGAATTCATCTATGAATTTATCAAAAGGATCTGGTCACAGAGGCCAGGCAGCTTCATCCTTTGATACTTATTGCCCTTATGGCGGCATAATTCCTAGGGGGAACTGTTTCTTGCTCACAGGGGATAATGCACAGTTAGTTGCATTTTTTGCCCTGACACTATTAAAATCCTTTTGACTATGTGTGTTTCCAGTAATGGTATTTTACAGACTTGGCTGAAAGTCGGCTGTCCCAATTCATAAACCCTGTACAAAGGCATTAGTATGTCTCACTACTTTTTAAAAAATATCATGTTTGTGGTATTTCAAATAGTTCAGAAAAGGCTTAAAATGAAGACCAAAATGATTTCCTTTCTTCTCTCCCTCACTCCAGAGAGATAACTATTGCTGACAGTGTTTTATGTATTCTTCTGGAAATGTTGTGTATGTGTATGATCCCCCAGCATATATAAGGCTTTTTGTAAACAGCAGTGAGATCAATTTCCATATATTGGTCTTCACCTTGCTATTTTAAAAAATTAATTAAAAAAATTTTTTGAATATCAGTAATTGATCATTGGCCTCATTTTAAAAATGATTTTCTGATAGTTAATTGTGTGCATGTGTGTAATTTATTTACTAATAGATATCAAGGTTGTTTCTAGTATTTTGCTATTAGAAATTATACTGCAATAAATATATTTGTAAAAATTCTTGCATCTTGTGAAATTGTCTTTACTAGAAATTCCTAGAAATGAAATCATTGGGTCAGAAAGTATACATATTTTAACTCTCCTTGTGATAAATATCCATTCAAGGAGCTTGAAGCAATTTACTCTCACAAATATTGCCTGAGAATTCTTGTTTCCACAAAATCTTGTTGAAATAGATATAATTAAACTCATTTTTCTGGTGAATTCAAGCTAATGAAGGAAAAGAAATATTTGTTTAATTGAACAACTAATTAATTAGATGGTTATTTACTTTGGTATACATTTTAAAATTGGGATTCTTCTAAAATCAATGTCTTAGCTCTCCTCTGAGCTTAGGAGAAACACTAAATTTTTTGTTAAATTTACATGTGGCATAATTGACTTTATTTTGGTGTGCAGTTCTATAAGTTTTGACACATACAGATTTTTATGACTACCATAATAGTTGGAATACAGAACGGTATCCTCATTTTCATCACACCAAAAACCTCCCTTGTGTTTCCCCTTTATAATGACATTAACCTCCCCAACCACTAGAAACCACTGAATTGCTCTATATCAGTGTCATTTTGTCTTTTGAGAATGTCATATAAATGGAATCATACAGTGTGTGATCTTTGAGACTGGCTTTTTAACTCAGCGTCATGACTCTGAGATTCATCCTTGTTGCTGTGTTTATCAACACACAAAACAAAAAAGACCATAAAGCTTGTCTTTGAAAAGATCAAGAAAATTGATGAACTAGCAAGATTGAAGAGAAAAAATTGAGAAAACACAAATTACAAATATCAGAAATGAAAGAGGGGACATTACTACAGATCCCACAGAACAACTCTAAGCATGCAAGGTTGACAGCTTAGGTGAAATGAACCTCTTCTTCAGAAACCATGACTTACTGAAATTCACCCAATATAAAATATAAAACTTGAGTAGTTTTATAACTATTAAAGAAATTAAGTTTTATAACTATTAAAGAAATTAGTTTTATATAGTTTTATAAAGAAATAGTTTTATAACTATTAAAGAAATTAAGCCTTCCAAAGGAGAAATCTCTAGTTCCCTTACTGTTGCTACTATTGCTACCAGAACCCCTTTCCTGCTCCCTGAGCTTTAACTAGGAGCCTCTCGTGGAGTTTTCTCTGTCTGAGCTGATGCCCATTTCCAGGTGTCTCTCAGGTCCTGGCCAGGAGATACTGGGGGGACAAACATGGTCAACTCACCACTGGTTTGGTGGTCCTTTGAATTCTCTTTCCCCCCCCAATCTGTCTGTAACTGTTTACTTTTCAGAGCCCGCAAATGACTACTGAATGTATTCTGTCCAGAGTTTATAGTGACATTTAGTGAGAGAGACAGGGTGCGGTATAGTTAGTCCTTCCTACCTGGAACTGGAACCTTAGAATCAAACTTCTAAACATTCCTTATCTATTAAGTAAAAATGTAGGTGAGCTACATGATTGTTCAGGCATGTTGAGTGAGCACCTTTTTCATTTCTCTGTACCATTGCATGTCCCAATGTGGACTGAGATACAAACGTGGACTGAGCTGTTGGTACTTTTTTTCCAAGAATACTCAGATAGCAGATTGCCTGCTAACAAAGTGTTAATTGAAGTGACATATTTTTGAGTATTTGGTTTTCAGAG